GGTACATACACGAGAATGTTACGAGCCATTTTGAATAAACCGTGGCAACAACACCCGACAAACAAAGAGCTGTACGAAAACATCCCACTAATACCACCTACCATCAAAGACCAAAGGATGAGATTCGCAGGGCACTGCTGGAGAAGCAGAAACGAACTAGCTAGCGACCTCCTACTATGGACACCCAGTCATGGCCAAGCAATAGCTGGACGGCAATGAGTGACAGGAACGTTTGGAGAAACCGAGTCAATTTCATGATCCGGGCAACTCGCCAGACCTGATGATGATGATGATATATATATATATATATATCCATACACACACACACACACATATATATATATACATATATACATAAAGGTGTGTGTGTGTGTATATCTATCTATCTATATATATACACACTTATATATATATACACATATATATATCAATATATATAAATATATATATAAATATATATACATATATATATATATATATATACATATACATATATATATATAAATGTGTGTGTGTGTACTTTCTCAGTCACTCTCTCTCTCACTCTATCTATATATCTATCTGTCAATCTCTCTTTCTTTTTATTTCTCTTTCTTTCTCTCTCTCACTCACTCACTCGCTCTCATTCTCTCCCTCCATCTCTATCTATCTTTCCTTTTATTTCTCTCTGTCTCTTTCTTGCTTTTCTTTATATATTTCTCTCTTTCACAAACTCATTCTCTCTCGCTCTCTCTCTTTGTCTTTATTTCTCTCAGTCTGTTTCTTGTTTTTCTTTCTATAAATCTTTCTTTCACTCACTCATTCTGTGTGTGTGTGTGTGTACATATAAACACACATATATATATGTATATATATGTATATATATATATATATCGATGTATCTATCTGTCTCTCTTATCTCTTATATCTCACCCTTTCTCTTTTTTCTTTCTATAATGATATTTGCATATATCTTGAATATAGAAAACGCCTCATACTTAAAAGCTCTATGTATGGCAGCTAAATCAAATAGAAATTTGCAAATTCGCTAGTGCTTCTCGAAGCTGTGCCATCTAGTAGCAGCTGATGGAACTAATGAAGTGAGACTTCACTTTCAATACACAGGAAACACTACGTTATATTCTCCATTATAGAACATCACGTGAACGCAAAACCTCAGTATGAGTATGGAGAATATAAAGACGCATTATCATTGTGTGTGTGCATCGTATGTGCGTGCGTGCGTGCGCGCGCCCGTGTGTGTGTGTATGTGTGTGCATGTGTGTATGTGTGAACCTGCCTGCGCGCGTGTGTTTGCGTATGCGTGTGTGCACAAGTATATACTTGATGAGTTACAAAAATATATGTATCATATGCATCATATGTAATATTACATATATGGCATTGCCTCTTTACATGGTCAATTAGCAGTTGTATCACATTCTCTGCATTTGTCTTTCAAATTCTCTTATTTGTTAGTTCATGTATATAAACTGTCTATACATAGGCATATACGTGTGTATATACGTGTATATATGTATCATATTTAAACTTTATAAAGTTAAGGTTTTTATATATTCCCTTTACATGTTCATAACCATTTTCAATAGGTTCCCTCCATCCCTTTTGCAAGTAACAATCGGTGACCTCACTTCCTTTGGCAAGTAAAACCGGTGACCTCACTTCCTTATGCAATGAACAATCGGTGACCTTACTCTCTTTTGCAAGAAGAATCGGTGACCTTACTTCTCTTTGCAATGAACAATCGGTGACCTCACTCCCTCACAGCCACCGACTGTTCCTTGCGAAAGGAAGTGAGGTCACCGATTGTTCCATGCAAAAGGAATTGAGGTCACCGATTGTTCCATGCAAAAGGATTGAGGTCACCGATTGTTCCTCGCAAAAGGAAGTAAGGTCACCGACTGTTCCTTGCAAAAGGAAGTGGGGTCACCGACTGTTCCTTGCAAAGGAAATGAGGTCACCGACTGTTCCTTGCGAAAGGACGGGAGGTCACCTACTGTTCCTTGCGAAAGGAAGTGAGGTCACCGATTGTTACATGCAAAAGGAAGTGAGGTCACCGACTGTTCCCCGCAAAAGGAAGTGAGGTCACCGACTGTTCCTTGCAAAAGAATTAAGGTCACCGACTGTACCTTGCAAAAGGAAGTGAGGTCACCGATTGTTCCTTGCAAAGGAAGTGAGGTCACCGACTGTTCCTTGCAAAGGAAATGAGGTCACCGACTGTACCTTGCAAAAGGATTGAGGTCACCGACTATTCCTTGCAAAGGAAGTGAGGTCACCGACTGTTCCTTGCAAAGGAAGTGAGGTCACCGATTGTTACATGGAAAAGGAAGTGAGGTCAATGACTGTTCCCCGCAAAAGGAAGCGAGGTCACCGACTGTTTGTTTCTGGTAAAAAGGAAGTGAGATCACCGATTGTTCCTTGCAGAAGGATTGAGGTCACCGACTGTTACTTGGAAAAGAATTGAGGTCACCGACTGTTCCTTACAAAAGGGATTGAGGTC